AAAAAAAAAAAGGAAATGATCGAAAAGTTATGAGAATTTAGTGACGAATATTGTGAAATTAACGGAATTCTAGAATGAAGCTTTCTAGGAGGAGGTGACGGGTAAAGGTGTTAGAGAGTTTCTTTTTCCCCTGTTTTTAAGTTTTTCTGCATTTTATTTTATTACTCAAATATTTTAAGTTCCCCGGCATTCTTTTTTTTTTTTATTTATTTTCCGACCTTTTTTATATTTTTTTCTATTATTATGGCTGCCGGAGGTTGTGGTACATAAATTTTATGTATTACATGTTGCAATTTACAAAAAAACGTTTTCTTCAGGTTGCAAAAAGGTTGCAAATAATTATTTACTCTAACTTTTAAGGAGAAGTTAAGGGTGTTATGTTGGTCTAGGGAGTAAAGAATATAGTTGAAGGTAAGTATTACTTAACGGACCTGCAACGAGTCCTTTAATATTTATTTCCTATTGAAAACATGGCCTTCCTGTTGGTATAAATCATGATCAGTAAAAAGAAAACTAGGAAGCAAATCAGCTAGTTTGTCCGGTCATTTCTCTTAACTATATTAGGTTGCTAATTCCACAAGCTTGAATTTAATTGGAGCGACCTGTTCATTTAACTTTAATTTAATTTGAAATTATTATGTTATTATGAAATGTTGAATTGAGCTTGTGATTTAAGCCAGCTTGAGTCCTCAGTAGTGTTAGACATTGAAATTTTCATTTTTTATTTATTTATAAGATTTTTCTGAAGGTATTAGAGATGGAAGTGGTGAATTTACGAAATTGTTGTTCTCTTGATTATTGAATAGTACAGTCTTATGGTTGCATGTTAGGTGGTCTAGTAGTAGTAAGCTACTGAGTCTGCATCTTCTTTTCTGATTGTAATGTGATGTAATGTCGTGGGTTTGTTTTCAAATGCCAATGGAATTCCATAATGTACAGCTGACATAAACAAATTTCAGGTATTGTGTGACATCTTGAGCACTGGAGGTCATCCCGGCAGAGAGATTGCAAGACAACCCTCACTCTACTTCGCAAATGACGACCTTTCCTATCAAGTGAGTATGAATTTTCATTTTCAGAGCTGGTGGTGTTATTTTAATCTCTAGTTATCAGTTCTCAAACTTATTACTAATCAAGTTTAACCAAAGGCAGGGTCTGTTTCCAACTGAACGCCTTGGCATGGGTGCTTTCAGAATTGCATTAGAATCTATTTACAATAGGTAATTGACTCTCTCCAACTCATAAATTCTCAAATAAGAAAAAGGAAAATAAACATCTCTGGTCATATTTGAAATATGCTAATAAGAGGTCCTGAACTCTACAGTAACAGAAAAAAAGCATCTTTTTACTGCTATGCTAACAAGATGTATTTTTTTTGACATTTTTTCACAGCATTTATCCAAATTTTCTGGAGTACACATCTTATGGAAAACCAAACCCTTCCGTATTCAGGAATGCTGAAAATGTGCTGATGCAAGAAGTCCATTCACACATAAGGCCCCCAGTTGATGGAGAATATCCTTTCAAAACCTTGTACATGATAGGGGATAATCCCTCGGTTGACATAAGAGGGGCTCAGCAGGTTTGTACTATGCAAACATTTTTTTTGCTATTTAACCCACTTTTTAATTTGCTGCTAGTAACAAAACATGAAACGAGCTTTTTCAATTTCGTTGCTGCAGGCAGGACAACCTTGGTTCTCGATCTTGACCAGGTCTGGGGTTTTTAAAGGGAAGGATAATCACCCATTGTATCCGGCAGATCTGGTAATTATATTATGATTGTATTTTTTAATGGAATCTTTGAAGCTATGAAGTGTTTGGTATCTATTTTCTTTCCTGAAAGCGATCAATTACTTGATCTATAAAATAAATATATTTTGTCACATACAGGTTGTTGATACTGTCGAAGAGGCGGTTGATTTCATTTTGCGGAAGGAGGCATTTCAAACTGATTGATACTAATAAGTTCAGCACCATTATATCTTTTATATGAACTCTGGCCGTATGAAACATCTGTCTATCCTAATTGCAGGGTGGGTATGGTTGAATTCAAGGGGGTTGGTCTTCGATTCATATTTGTTGGCTAGGAATCTTTGCACTTATCATTTGAGAATTTGAAATTTAACCATCAAAGTGCGGGATCACTTCGATTTGATTTTTAATACTAGCTGATTGAGAACTTTTATTTTTTGGATTCCTCCTCATAGGCATATAAGTTAATGAAATAATTTGCTTTCAATTTCCTGAAAGATGAGCCAAGAACTGAATATTTTGTTGCCCATAGAAATACGTGCAGCATTCTTTTTCGGTTTGCATGCGGTAGGATTGCAGTTTGATCCCGAGTAATTGTCCATAAACAAACAGGATGATGACTTTGACAAGATACCCAAGCAACAAAATCATATGAGTTTATATGTCAGTATCACTTTCAACAGTTAAACCACCACTAAACTCCCATGTCATTTTTCTTCACATCTTCTGTTGAAATTGTGTGTGCGCGCATGGTCTTCTCTGATCGATCATCAAGGCGTGCGTGTGCATGGAGAAGAGGAGCAGGGATCGTGCATTTCTATTTCTTTTGTTTTGTTTGTTTAAAGTCGTGTTTCTTTTGTTTCCCATTTTAATTAGTTGAACGCCATCGTTTTCTATTGTTTTTAATTGTGCGAATATTAGACCTAAACGATGTCGTTTTAGGTGGTATGTTTTCATTTGAATTAGAGCGGGGCTTTAAGTGCATTTCATGGCCTTTTGTTGTGACTGAATTCATATGACAAGAAAACAAATTTTTGGATATTTTTTTTCATGGTATCTAGAGCACGACAGCACGTTACAAACTTTGAGATCTCCGATCGCAATCCATGGCGAATAATAGTTAGTTCAACGAGGCATGACCACTACTCAATGCGACAACAAATCCTGGGAGTGAGAATCGATAAGATAATCCATTATTTTTTGCATGGATTGAATCATTTTGGTTTGTAGTTGGTTTTGCATCTAGTAATTGGCTAGAGCTTTCTTGCTTGGGAAGAGGCCCATGATGTCGTGCTTGGAACTAAGTCAAAGCTAGGATTCATAGATGGATTAGTTGAGCCATACGAAGATAATTACATTTTGATTGAGTTTTTGATATTAAGAAAAAGTTGAAGGTAGGAGATGTTGATTCTGGCAAATGGAAGAAGGTCGACTGGAGGTAATGACCTGGATCTTAAACTCCTTATCGAAAGACATAGTAGATGCCTTCATTTATGTTGATTCTTCTTGGGTAGAAATTTCCTAATGACCTAGGAAAAGTAATGGACCCCTAATTTTTCAGCTACAAAGAGATATTACCAACTTAAAGCAAGGAAGTGATTCTATGATAATGTACTTCAATAAGTTTCAGAAGATAGCTACTTAGTTCCACTGATGATTTCTAAATGCGAAGGAGGAAAGAGTGGAGGAATAAAATATGAAAATAGGCTCATGTAGTTTTTGATGGGTCTTGATGATAACTATGAGCATATTAAAAATCAGATGTTAATTATGGATTTACTACCTACAGTGAACAAAGTTTACTCCATGATTTTATCAGCTGAGAGGCAAAGATTTGTGCACATTTCTATGGATTATCATGCACCAAATATGGTTATGGCTTTCAAGGCAAAGGAACCAATATGAGGCCACAAAACATGTAGTTTGGAGAAGAAAAGAAAAAGGTGGTTTTAGAATGTCAAAGGAAGAAAAGGCTTAATTGGTAAGTGTAATTGGGGATAGAACGAACATGAGAAATTCAACTGTTTTAAACTACATGGTTCCAAATTGGTTCAAGGAACTAAGAGAAAAAAAGGGAGAAATGTGGCTAATGAAGTTGAAACAATTGAAGAGCAACATGCTTCACAAAGCTTGTTGCCAAGTTCACAGTCTGATATTGCAACCTTAGCACAAGAGGTGGCAAGGATATTAAGCAGTCAGGGTGGAGGAAAGGAACATTATGTGAACTTTGCAGGATAAGAGAGTGATGATTTATCACACTATGCTTTATCATTGTAAAAAAGATTGAATGAAAAAGCCTGGGTAATACATACTAGGGCTATCAAACATATGTGTACATATAGAAAGTTATGAGGAATATGGGGGTTTTGAGACATCTTTTCACCATTTACCTGCAAGATGGAATTGAGAAGCAAGTGAAAGAAGTTGGTGGAGTAAGGTTGTCATAAAACATGACATTGAAGAAGGTACTCTATGTCCCATCCTTTCAATACAATTTGATGTCAGTGACACAAATATGTGCTGCTTCTCGACTGAGGAGCATCTTTACCTCAGAGAAATGTACATTTGAGGATGTTGAAACAGGTGAAGTGAAGGGACATAGAGTTCTACAATGTAGATTGTACTTACTACAAGAGAATGTTGTGGCAAATGAGAGTTGATTGGCATGTAAAATTTCACTAGAAGAATGGTACATGGCTTTGGGACATGGTTCACAAGGAGTAATACAACATATATATCCTATAAGGGATCACTGCATTGAATATAATTCTCAAAGATTGAATGAGTGAAGTTTATTTTAAAGCAAAACAACATAGGTTGTCACTTCCAAGGAATTGTATACAGTCCAATGAGTATTTTGAGATGATGCATGTGGACATATTGGGGCCTTGAAAGGAAGTGATCATGACAAATACACCATATTTCTTGACAATGCTGGATGATTACAGCAGAGGTGTTTGGATTTTCTTGTTGAAAACTAAAAAGGGAGGCCATTAGACATATCAAAAATTTCTTAAGAATGGTGAGAACTCAGTTTGGAACGACAGTGAAGAAAGTGAGAAGTGACAATGAACTGGAGTTTGTGGGGTTAAAACGTCAGGATTTGTTTTTGAAGCATGGCATAGTTCATCAAAGAACATGTGTCTGATATCATTTTACTCCTTGTGTGTGGGGTATGGATTCAAAGTCTTTTGACTAGTTGAATGGGGTGAATGTGGTTCGAGAGAGTCTTAAAGCTGTGGTGGTTCCAACAATTCTCAGATATGTCTAGCCGATCGAGTTGTTTCGGAGTTCTCAAATTTTGGTGGTTTGATTTCGATCTCGTGCGACTAGGATTGTTTTTTAATTTGGTTTGACGTGGTGGGAAATAAGGGCTTTAATCTATTTATTAGTTGTTTTTGTGTTTTTTATGTGTTTAACTTTGTGTTAGTATTCTTCATATTGAAGTATTTGATTCTCTCGCGTCGGTGTTAACAGGGTCAGCCCTGGCCCAAGGCGACCTTGGCCAGAACCCAATTCAATCTAGGGCCCCAGACCAGCCCATATATGCCCCTTTTCTTTCATTTTTATTTTATTTTTGACAATAGAGAAATAAAAGGAATTAGGATCAACCCAATTCAGTGAGGGGCACCTATATTTATTGCAAATAAAATCTCTATAATATTATAATTAATTAAGATGATTTTCTTTTCCTTTTCTCTTCCTTATAACATTTTTTCTCAATTACGCTCACACATGCACAATACCCTATATCTCTATCTCCCTCTTTTTCTACTTTATTACATGTTACATATTATAACTTTAATTTAAGTAACCTATTTACTTCTTTGTTGTTTGAAAAAAATTTCCTATTTTACTTATTTACTTTCGAAACAATATTTATATAATTTACTTTTAAAAAATTATATTATTCTTTTTATAGCAATTATAACTATTTTATAGTTTAAATTTGCTTCACTAATTAAAACTTCTTCAGTAAAGTTAAAGTTTGTTTAATGTATATTTAAATATATTTAGTAATATTAAATAAAAAAACATACACTATTTTTAGAGTGTGACATTATGTCATTAACTTTTATGGGTGCAATGATTTTTTTTTATTGAATATGCTTGTAGTTGCTAGTTTTTGTTATGAGGTTGCATTTTATTTGTTTAGGTTATATAATTTTATTATTTATTTTTTCGAAAAAGGAAAGGGGTTATGAATTCTCACTTTTTTTGTTGTTGATGGACGAATCTGATCAGCGGTTAAAATAAAAGATATTGAGAGTAAGGAATGATAATGACGTAGGAATATTAAGGAAAATGGAATTTATTACGTAATTACGGGGTCGGCCTTTGTCCGAGGTCGGCACTTTAGTTACAGTTGGGAATTTATTACAGATTTCTAGAGAGAGAAAGTAGAGAGAATGCAGAGTAGTTGAGGAGCTGGAGAAGTTCACCCACTCCAACGACAAGAGAAAGAAAGGGGTCCGTTTCAAGGACGACCTCAACAGTGGCGAAGACTCCGACGCTAATCATCGGAGAAAAAGGCCACAACAGGGCGGAACCAATGAAATTCTGACCTTTTGCTCGACCCATCAAGGCGAGGCCGACACCTCAAGAGGCAAAAAAAGAGATCGGTCCTCTCAGCCCGGGGCCGACTAGACGACCTACTCACCTCGGCGCGTCAACACGAGCCGAGGTGAATCTCTCCTTTCAAGGAGACAAACTAAGACCTACGCCCGACAAGCCTATTATGTTGGGCAAAGGGTGCTGCACGCCGGCACCTGAACCAACTCCGACCAAGATCTCCTTTACCGACGAGAATGCCTTCCTGTTCGATCACCTACACTCCGATTCCCTGGTTACCACGGCGTCGATCATGGTGATAAAAATACACCGCATCATGATAGACACCGGGGCCTATGCGAGCATACTCTACTACAACACTTTTAAAAAGATGGGTATCGACATGAAGGATATGCAGCCCTGTCGAGAACGGATCCAGGGTTTCAACAGACAAACAACAATCCTTGTCGGCCAAGTCATGTTGTCGATCAGATTTTTGGGGAGAAGGGGAAGCCCACGAGGATGATCCTTGAAACCTTCAAGATCGTGGACTGCCCGAGTGAATATAATGCCATCTTGGGCAGGATGACACTCTACAAGCTGAGAGCTGTCGTCTTCATTTCCCACTACTCTATCAAATTCCCGACCTCGGA